TAAACATATATTCTGTATTAAGGGCAAAGATTCTATTTTCAAAGAGGTTTGTTCAACTGATTGAAGAAGTTTAACCGAGAGCATTGGAATAGCCTGGGCTGCTCCATGGTTTGGCCAACATTCACCCTCTTTCTCACTCCACCCAGTCTGGCCTGTACCTCTCTGCTCCTGCGGGCTCCATGTTTCTGATTACAAGCGTCCCATTGCTCTCAACACACAGTTACTCCAGAGCAATGGGATACTTGTAACCAGAAACAATTTGCAATTGCGTCAATGTAATCTTGGTATCTACAGATTTGCCCAGCTTCAGAACCCAAACCCTAGCAAATACCTTGAAGTAAAAGAAGCCTTGGTCCAGACGTGAGGCAAGGTGGGCTGCAGTCTTGGTTTTCCACTAACATGTAGGTTTTTCCGTGTCCCCCAGGTCCCTCAGTCTCCTCACTTGGATATCAGGGGCTGGATACAAAGAGCTCTATGATCCCTTTTGACTTCCCTGGACAGTCAGGGACAGCTGCAAGGTGGAGATCTTCCAAAGGTCACCAAGAGCACCAAGCCTTCTAGCCCCAGTGCCAGGGGTTGACCTCAAAAGGAACCCCAGTGGGGTTTCTGGAAAACATTCTAGTTCTTTCACCCAGCTCATGCTATACCCCTCTGGAAAGGTTACACAGTGTCTCCTCAAAGTCCTTCCAAAGTTAGTGGAAATTAAGTGGATTGTTATGGCATTCTTCTTCCCAAGGTCCATTCCCTCCTCCCCTAATAATGGAACCCTAGTTTTCCCTTAAGGAATTGTCCTTTCTCTGTTGCCAGTCCTTGAGGGTTGAGCTCCAGGGACAGGCTCATGAAACGCTGGGCAAATAGCCTATTTTCCACCCCAGTGGTTGATTGATGATTGGACAAAGGCAGACTCAAATCCAGACTTTGGACAGAGATGCTGGAGGCCTTTGGCTTCTTTATGGAATGAAGCCTCACAGAGGAAATCAGAGCTGGGAGCTGAAGAGGAGACAATTGTTGGGAATAACGTTTGAGACCCTAGATCCAGCCACGCCTGAAAGTCTACACGTGAACTTTCAGTTACCTGAGCAAATAAATCCATTCCCACTTTTTTGTTGTTGAAGTGAATTTGAGTTGAATTAGGTATCAGTAATAAAGTGTTCTTTGAACTTTCTGCTTTTCTCATTCATGCATGCCTCTCTGTCAATGTTGCCAAATCTGAGTTATTTCTGATTAAAGGAAGAGGAAGGGGAGGAAAAGGAGGAGGAGGAAGCAGAAAAAGAGAAAAGAGAGAGGATAAGAAGTAGAAGCTGTTAAATCTAAAAGCTGCATGAAAGGCAAGGTCTAATGCACTGTTGGTAATTATAAATATAGCACTGTTGTTACCACTTCCTGCCCTGTACCCATCACAAATATCACTCATTTATAAGAATTCTTCTCAATGCAGAATTCTTGGCACCCACGGCTAATCACCTGCAGTTGACCCCAACCTGAAATCTATTTCCAACAAAGCTAAGACGCCTACCGATTCAATGGACATGAACTTGGGCGAACTCCGGGAGATGGTGAGGGACAGGGAGGTCTGGAGTGCTGCAGTCCACGGGGTCGTGAAGAGTGGGACACGACATAGCTGCTGAACAACAATAAAGACACCCACAGCACTACACTATGACCGATGCCAGTCACAGGACTGGGAGATGGTTTAAACCAAAGCAGAGCCTTAACCGCCATGGCCAGTCCAGAGGACACGTCGATCACAAAGACAGGAGCAACTTTGCCATACTGGCAAAATCAAATAGTGCTAATAGGTAGCCCCAAGCCACTGCCAGGAAATCCCTTGGAATGGGGTCTCAGAGAGAAAAGCATGGAGTTTAGTTAGCTGGCTCCTGGAGCCAAAGCATGAACAGGGGAGGTCTGGTGGGTGCCATCTTAACCCACATGGCAGCTTTGGGGTGCAGGTGGGGGCTCAGCCCTGGCCCCACGCCCAGTGTCAACACTGCCCACAACACGATGACCCTGTATGCCCACTGGCAACTCCGGGCTCCCAAGGGCTCCCAAGGCTGCCAGTTCTGAGCAGGTAACATCAACCTCCGACGACAAGAAGTGCTGGTACTAAGCTGGAGTGTTTCTAATCCTCAAGCTGACGGATGCCTTTCTGCCTCCCTCAGAACTCAAAATCAACCTGATGTTTCTAAAATTACATCTTGAAGGCAAATGAATCTGTAACGTGCACCAAAGCCTAAGCTAACCAGGGAAAGGAGGAGAAAATAGAAACATCCTGGCTCCCTCCCATAAATGTGAATATTCTTTCTATACTGGTGGAAGCAGGGGGAGTGGGGAGGGGAACATCTCCAAAGGATGGGAAGTTTCCAAGAACCAGGTGTTCTCTGGTGCCCCTGAGGGTTCAGAGCAGCCTCACGACACAGGATGAAAATTAAGGAGAAGCAAGACCCCGGCATGAAGAGGGGAGGTGCCTTCAACTTCTAGACAGAGACAGCCCGGCCTGAGGCAGACCCTGGAGGGAGCCCCGGGGCAGGGCCACACACGGGCCACTTAAAAGAGAATTAGACAGCAGCTGCTTCTCCTTAGACTGGAGAGGTGGTCGAAGGGGCTTTGTGTGAGTCTGAATCAAAACACACCTATCAAGAGGGATCAAGAACCTGGCCAAGTGGACTGCAGACAGAAAAGGGAATGAGTTTTTTTTTGTTTGTTTGTTTTTAGCAAAAATGTAAAAATCCAGGGATAAAACTGCTTTTTTTTTTTTAAATTGTAGCAAAGCCTGTCCAATGAAAACAATCCTCCTCTCCCCTTCACCCACGGATCAAACTTTAAAAACGCAACCTGTTAATATTTACAGTGACCCATTCAACAGAAAAGAACCGCTGCAACCATTGTGTTCCTGGACAACCGAGCTCCCTGGGCCACTAGACTGGATGAGGTGGTCAGGCCCTCCCGAGTTAACTCTTTATAGCTGCAAACAAATGGGACCCAGGACGAAACCAGGAGGCCGTAGGCAACAGTCCACGCAGGGCAGCTTCCCTCAGCAATCATTAGTTCCCGGGCTTACAAGGTGACTCCAGAGGGGTGATTACTGGGAAGACAGACGATTTAGGGAGATAAGAGACTCCGTCGTCTTGTGGGGTGGCAACACCTGGTGGCAGACTTAGGCACAGGTCTTCTGAGACGGGAGGCCAGGGCGAGAGAGGAGCAGCGGTTCCTCAAAGGAAAAGGAGCGGGTAGCATCGTGAAGGCTGCTGAGGGCAAGGAGATGGGGCGTCCCGGGTCCAGTGAGCAGCAAACGCACAGTCCTAGAGAGGAGAGGGGGTCCGAGGGGTCCAGCCGGCGTGTGTGTGTGTGTGTGTGTGTCTGTGTGTGGCTGAGGAATCTGCTAAATTCTAACAAAAGCGATGGCCGGCCGTGCTGGTCTGGCCCAGAGGCGGGCGGAGCAGGACCCACCGCTCTCACACCGAGGGCCGGATGCCGTCTTACCTGCGTCTCCTCCAGTCAAGGAGGCAGGGCTGCCCGCGGCCCGGATTTCGGGCCGTTCTGCTGGGGCTGCCGCTGGGGCCGCGCACCCCGGGGCGGGGAGGTCTGGTGTCTCGGTGCCCTTGGAGACACGGCCCCGGGACCGAGGACGCCCCCCGGCCTGGCCGAGCTCTCAGAACCGCCCGGGGCTGGCCCCGGACTCCACCCCCACGCGGGCCGGCGCACCTGTGTGGACTCTCACTCCGCACCTCACCTGGGCTGTGGGAGGGAAGGTAGGCCCTAGGCGTGGAGCCTCTCACTAGGATGGGCCTATCTGAGTCGCTTTTGGGTTGTTGTTCAGTGGCGTCCAACTCTTTGCAACCCCATGGACTGCAGCAGCCAGGCTTCCCTGTCTTTCACTATCTCCCAGAGTCTGCTCAAACTCATGTCCATGGAGTTCGTGATGCCACCCAACCAGCTCTTCTTCTGCCACCCTCTTCTCCTTTTGCCCTCAGTCTTTCCCAGCATCAGGGTCTTTTCCAGTGAGTCAACTCTTCGCATCAAGTGGCCAAAGCATTGGAACTTCAGCTTCAGTCCTTTGAATATTCAGGGTTTTGTGCCCAGGTGCAAAACTGCTCTTCTCCCCTGTAAGCCAAGTGTCCACCCTGCTGCCTCCACTGCAGTATCTGGGAGAGGTCTGGGCCATATTGGCAGTTTCATGCAGGTGGGACCTGTCTCTTTCCTCTCTCTCCAGCCCCCCACCTCATAGAACCCCCCCCCAGAACCCCCCTATCCCCCCAACAGACTCATTAACTTTGTGTCAAATATCTTTTCCATTTAATTAAAAAAAAAACCAAACAGTTAATGTCACACGGGGCTCCAGAAATACATGCTTTTGAATTCCAGCCAAGGAGAGGGCTGGAAAGCTGCGATCTGCAGACACGGCTGGTTTCCACAGACCAGTCTGTGCAGTGCTGACCAGCTCAGTCCCTCTGCCCATGAGAGAACCGCGGCCCAGGAGGCAGGGGCGGGGGGGTCTTCAGTTGGCCGGAGCATCACCTGTAGCTCGCTGGAAGGTGGCTGGGCAGGAAGAGGGAGTCTCCCTGCAGCCCCCCTCTAAGAAGGACATGGGCCAGGGGGACAAAAGGAGGTACTTAAGCCTCCTAAGACTCCCGCTGCCTCTGAGGCTGGAGGACACCTTCTTTCAACCGAACACAAAGTAGATTGATGATGTGAACTTAGACTCTGTAGCAACCCGGTGACACCACAGCAGTCAGCAGATGGAGTTGTCCGCTGACGGGCCTGGACACAGCTCCTAGACCATCCGGTACTGTCAGGACCACGTGGAGAACACACTGACACCCTTTATGCCAAATAAGAGTAAATAATTCTACCAATATAAACAGGGCCTCTGACCCTTTCATTTTATTAAAATGGCACGTAAATATTAAAACAGCATACTGATCACTTCCTACATCCGTGAGACCCCCGGCGTGTTGATCTGGAGCCACTTGTGGGCTTCCTCCCCGACGGAGGCAGCTGGCTCACGCATTGAGCAATTCATGTTCTTTATCGGTTTTCCCAACAGCATCAGGATTTGATAGTGGGTCGAGATCAGCAAAAAGGCTGAACCAGGCAGTCAGGTCCGAGGAGGCCTTGGCAGGCTCTGGGGAGAGAAGAGGACACATCAGCCCAGCCACCTTTCTAAATCCCATCTCTGCCAGGCTTCAGGGCCAGGAGCACCTTCAAGACGGAAGACGCTCAGTCAGGCAAGCCCTGCTGCTTTTGGTCTCTAAGCCTTGTTAGGGTTTCCATGCCCCACTACTGGCTTGTTGGCTGAGTAACATTTCTATACCATGGTCTTTACAAATCTGCGCCAACAGTGAGCTCTTGTGTTAATCCCCAGTCGGCACCCCTGCCCAGCAGATGGCCACAGCCCACAGCGCTGCCTGAAACCCCAGACCCTGTGCTTCAGCACCACCAGGAAACAGCAGTCATTTCAGAAACCAGACTGAATGACTCAGGAAGTAAGGTGCCTTCCAAGTGTCCCCTGGAGGAATCTTCAAATCTGCTGGGTCCAGAGAAATACGGTGATTACTCTTTTCAGTCTTCTTTAACCCTTTCCCATCTAAGGAAGGGGGCCTTAGACAGGCCTCCCCTTCCCCACTGGGCTCTAAATTGCCCCCGAGCCTCTCACCCTCCATGCTCCATAGAGTCCTGCCTTCAAGTGTTCTTTTACTGAACCACCTGCCCTAACTTCTTGAATGCCACGATGACAGACCCCAATTATTTTCCAGATGAGGAAGGCATTTTTAAAAGAGTGCCTGATGCAAGAGATTTACAAAGAAGTTGGGGGCTCTTCTCTATATAAATCGTTCCACATGAGAATCTAAGTTCATTGACTTGGATGACCTATGCTTTTTTTTCTTTCTCCAACAGGTGGGACCATCAAAAACATGAAGACAATGTCTGACAGGTTATCCTTCTAACCAAAAGCAGCTAGGAATGTGCTTGCCATCTGGTTGAGAAGAATCTCAAAAAATACTGGTAGGACAAGTTGCTAAAAGTGCTTCTATGAATAGTGTGATGGTGAGTACTGATGGGACTGTTCCAACATACACAGGGCCTTTGATCTTTTCACTAAAACGGCACTTTTATGTACTGATCCCTTTATAGTTCTGATTTTCCCTCCCTTTATCGTTTTTCCAGTCTCTTGTAAATATATTACTTTATAATGAGACAACAATGCATCTATTACAGAGATAAGCGATTGCAAACAAGAGTAGTTAGTAACATGCAAGCTGTTACTTCGTAACATTAATTTCACAGTGTGCAGTGAGCCCCTAAAACACTTGGTTTATTGATATGATAAACTGAGACTTTATAGAGAGCTCAATATAGCTTGGTGGGGGTTGGGGAGACAATTTTTTTTTTTTAAGGGGCTATAACTTGTCTTTCTTTAGTCCTGTAGGACGTCACACAAAGAAACTGTATGGAGCAAGACTGATTTTGGAGGATTAGTCTGTTCTTGATAGAGAGTATCAAGACATCTTAGTGATAGTGCCAGTGTCTCTCCCCTCCCCAGGGGGGCTTTCCAATGGTGGGTGTGGCCCAGCTGTGAGTAGCCAGGTGATTATACTTGGGGGGAGGGGAATCCTCACATTCCCCAGACCTCCACTGTGGGAGGGAAAACCAGGTGCAACTATTTGCACAACACCTAAAAGAACATCAAGGGAATGCTTTCTGATGATAATAAAACTGACATTTCCTTTAACGTCCTGTGGTCAACACAGGGAAAGTGATGACCAAAGGAAGAGAGATGCAAAAACAGATGAGATCTTCCTCAGGCAGATGTTCTGTCTCAAAAGAGAGTAGATTTCACAAGCTTGAAAGGCCCTTTTTTGACAACTAAGGCACCTGGCTCTTTGCAAAAAGCATTAATCAAATGCTTTGTCTGGTGGAAGCAATGGTATTTTCAGCTGAGGATCGCCAATCTCAGAGGCCATTTTCTCCCTTACTGCTCTCATTCAGTCTTGGGGAACACCCGGTCACATGCAGACAGATGTCTGAGTCCTCCTCATTAGATCTGATACAGCCAATTATGAATAAGGACCTTAAGCCAGGAAAAAGTTAAAATGTTAGTACCTAGGATCATGCACAACTCTCAGCCCTTGTATCCCTGCCTCTGAATCCCAGGTGCTCCAGTGGAAATTAGTAAAGAGATAAAGCAAACAGTGTTAGGCCGATGGAAAGGAGGGTGACGGTCACTTAAGGGGGAGAGAATGATGTATTACCTTTCACTGCAGGGTAGTTGACATTTGGACTGCTTGCCTTTGGTGCTGGCCATGGAGGAGAAGGGCTGACACTGCTCTCTGACCAGCCTAATGTTCAAAACCAGAGGTCGTTAGATCTTAGGGAAGAGCAGCCACACTATCTCGTAAGTTCCATGTGCGGCACACACGTGGCTCTCAACTAGGATGGCCTTCGAAGACAGAGGAGGCTGGGTGTGCCGCGACCCTTCTTCCATGTGCCTCATATCTGGAATACGTTTTAGGGGAGAGTGGATTTGTATAATCCTGCCCACTTCAAAAGGGCTTCCCTGGTGATTCAGATGGTAAAGAATCTGCCTGCAATGCAGGAGACTGGGGCTCGGTCCCTGGGTCTGGAAGATCCCCTGGAGAATGAAATGGAAACCCACTCCAGTATTCTGGCCTGGAGAATACCATAGACAGGGGAACCCGGTGGGCTACAGTCCATGGGGTGGCAAAGAGTTGGACACGACTGACTAAGGAACACCAACTTGAAAGTATGGAAGATTAGGGGGAAGACTGCAAATGAGAAATTGCTAAGGTTAAAGCATTCTTGCTTCTGATTTTATACCCATTTTTCTTACCAACTGATATCATTTCACGGTCACACCAAAGATTATCAATAGTGTTCCTAGGAAATCAAGTGCCTTGTTTTTCTGTCACAAATAGGCACGATTTGTGCCCATGTCACAAAAAGTGAGCACCATTAAATGCAGTGACAGAATTAGTGAGCAACTGGTCTTCTCTATTTCCAATATGATCCAGTTCATTTATTTTCCATACAGCTAATTTAAATTGTGACGTTTAGTTAATACAGATAATTGGCAGCCCAGCCCAAATATATGAGAGGGAAGAATGTCCGCCTTAACTTGATGCCATATCCTTATGATGGCATTGATCTTGTCTAACCCAATGTTCTGAAGGCCCCTTGGGCTCTTCCTGCTGCTAATGATTAAGAGGTGTTCAGCAGTCCTGTTTTGTGGGGTGGGGAGCAAGCCTAGTTCCCCCCAGCATTTACTGTCTGCTAGATGTCTCAGCATGACTCATGTAATTTAGAACTTTACCATATATTTCTTTGCACATCTGCTTTAATTCTTCATGTGTAAGCCCTGTCTTCTCCAAGAGACAAGAAAGTGTTTCTTCAATGTGCTCCATAATATCTAATGTGGTACAGGTAGGTGTGTGTGGACTGAGTCCATTGGTGATGCTCACTGTGAAACACAGACCATCAGATGATGCATCACTGTGGGGTCCAAATAGTTAAAACCATATCCTTTCACTGGGATGCTCTGCTCACAGTGTCTTCTACAGAAAAAGTTTTGTCTCTGATAAGGATGCTTTGTTTGGATGGTAGAGTTCAGCTGTGGCAGTGAAACCAACTTCGGAGGCAAGAAACTCACTCGGCATGTGCTACAGAAATGAGAAGATGAAATACTATTTGTTTACCCTATACTTCAGATTTGTAATAAGGGACCCACTTTAAAAGCACAGTATATTGATTAGCCTGGCATGCTGCAGTCCGTGGGGTTGCAAAGAGTTGGACATGACTGAGCGACTTAACTGAACTGATATTGACTAGCTTGTACTTTTGTCTCATCCCCTAGAGTTCTGAGCCCCTTGAAGGCAGGGACTATGTATTATTCATCTTTACATTCTTTAGGGCACTTCCTGGGCACATGACGAGTGTTGAAATTAAGATAACCATCGAAGAACTCTTAAATCATGAGAACTACACTTATGAAACATTATTTTGAGAGATGGCAAAGCAATGCTTGCCACTGGAGATGCCCTAATACTCGCTGGTTGAATTATTTCTTTTTCGGCAAGCAGCATACAAATAGAGGCTGTGTACATGTGTGCTCAGTCATGTCTGACTCTTTGCAACTTCATGGGCTGTAGTGCTACCAGGCTCCTTTGTCCATGGGATTTCCCAGGCAAGAATACTGGAGTGGGTTGCCATTTCATTCTCCAGGGGATCTTCCTCACCCAGGGACCGAACCCAAGTCTCCTGCAGCTCTGGCATTTGCAGGTCGATTCTTTACCACTGAGCACATTGAAAACCCTATAAAGACTAACCAAGGACAAATGAAACAGGCAGCCTGTGACCTATTTATTGGGTTTAAAATATTGAAAAAGTACAGAGAGTTTAAAAAGTATTGCTATTCATTGGGATGGTCCCTGAACATGTTATTAACATATTTCACAAACAATAAAAAGCACCAGATTTCAAGGGAACTTTTTTGGAAGAATGGAAATGTTCTCCCACTAGACTGTGGTGACGGTTACACAATATAAATTTACCAGAAATCCTTGAACTGTTCTCCTACAATGGGTGAATATCATGGTATGTAAATTATAGTTCAATAAAGCCATTTTTAAAAAATGACCAGTATTCGGTGTAATCCAGTAGTAACATAACCTCCCTGGTTCCTAGAAAATTGGCCCGTGGGCATTTTCCTTCCAAACCCTAATCACATAAATAGTGGTAAATGTGGAAAGTTAAAATTGCAGTCTCGTTGAGTGCCAAATAACGCTAAAAGATTTAGGTAGCAACTAACAGGGTCAATTTCATCTTTCCCTACAAACCTCTCCTGGACATTGAGGGTCAAGATCCACCTGTGCTCGGCAGAAACTTCACACAACCTTTTCTCAATGCTAGCGGCCTGGCCCCTGTCTCTGAGGGCAGGGCTTCTCAAAGTGTGGTGCCTGCCCCAGCAGCTGGGACGTCACCTACTGAATCAGAATCCCTGGGGTGGAGTCCAAGGAACCGCCAACCCTCGGCAACCCTCATGCGAGTGTAGTGTGGGAGGCGCTGGCGCAGATGGCGCCCAAGGAGCTGCCGTGGCCACCATCCCCGTCAGGGTCAGGTTCACTCTTGTTGAAGCCAGAGCTGGGACAAGGAGCGAAGCCCTCCTCGGAAACAGAGAGCACCCACCTCCCAGCTCCCGCAGCTTTAAGCCCCTTGACCCCACTGAGCTCTCTGAGTTCAGGGAGGCCCACACTTCCCGAGAGAATCCAAATGGATGCAGAGAAAAGGCACGTGAGAGGTGTGGAAGGCCACCCCTCCCCCATCGCTAAGTGCTGATACAGTGGGAACACGAGATAATTCCTCCCATTCCAAAAACATGCACAACATTTAGCTCCAGAGAATGCTGGAAAAGTCAGGCTCAATCATTGTCTTTTTTCAGAGTGTAAGATAAAACACATTCCTCAAGGAAGCAGAAATAAATTCACATGTCAAAACACAGACCCCCTCACTGTATATGATGGGTATATTCCCAAATGGTTATAAACAAACAGAACATCTGTATATCAAGTCATATTTTTAGAGTTCCAGAAATACAAGTTGTATTTTAAAGCCTATCATTTAAAGGATTATAACGGCAGGCTCCTTTATAAAGACTGTGTTAAGTTGCTTCAGTTGTGTCTGACTCTTTGTGACCCCAAGGACTGTAGCTTGCCAGACTCCTCTGTCCATGGGGAGTCTCCAGGCAAGAATACTGAAGTGGGTAGCTTATCCCGTCTCCAGGGGATCTTTCCAATCCAGGGATCGAACCCAGGTCTCCCACATTGCAGGTGGATTCTTAACCAGCTGAGCCACAAGGGAAGCCTTGTCTTTATTATAAAGACAAGGTCTTCTAATTGGATTCCTTTCTGCACATTGCTCACCTAAACACTCAGGAACCATAAGGGCAACATGGAGAATCTACAGACTTGGGGGCTTCTCTGCTGCAGAGGATACAGAGGAGGATGAGCATAAAGACGTTGCCCCTTTGGGGACGAAGATGATAGACGATGGGGAAACTAGACCTCAGAGTTTCCCAAAGACACAGGGTGTCATTGTTCTTTGGTCCCACAGTGTGAAGCAGAAACAGCCAGTTTGCCAAACCACAATTTCTCTTCAGAACACCTATTAAGCATAAATCGAACAATCCCAACTATTCGCACATGAGGGGAGGAAATGTTATCGTTGTGACCCCAGCTACGTATGTATATATGGTCATTGTTGTTTAGTTGCTAAGTCGTGTCTGACTCTTTTGCGATCCCATGGACGGTTGCCTGCCAAGCTCTCTGTCCTTTGGATTTTCCCAGCAAGAGTACTGCAGTGGGTTGCCATTTCCTTCTCCAGGGGATCTTTCCCAACCCAGGGACTTGAACCCACATCTCCTGCCTTGGTAGGTGAATTCTTTACCACTGAGCCACCAGGGAAACCCAAATATGTATGTTTTAAGCAAATACTAACCTGAGCTGCAGTTTCACTCTCATTCATATTGCTTTGGGAATTCTTTAGGGGAGGGGTACAACTAGGGTAATTATGGATGGAATGCCAAGCCAGACTTCAAATGTCTTGGCTTCTGTCAGGAAAAAATGCTATTTACAGAGAACTCAGTGTTGCTAATATTCCTATAATTGCCATCAACTGCTCTTCAGTTGGTGTTCGTTGGCTGAGGCGTTTTTAACAGGAAGGCGTGGCTGGAAGCATGTCTTCCCCATCTCAGAGAAACTGTGTCAGGAGATGGGGTGGTGCAGGGTGGGGACAGACGAGACTGAGTGCTCTGGGGGCAAGTTGAGAAGCCTAGTTCTCGGCCCCTTTGATATGTCAACTGTGCGCTCCCCGTCTGCAGGAAACACATATAAAATTTTATTGGAGCAATCCTGCCCCCTTCACTGACATAAGGGAAAATATAAATCGGCCAGAAATAATACTGGCCAGCTAGAGAAGCAAGTGAAGCCAAAGTAACACCACCCAGCGTAGCACTTTACCATGAGGGTAATTTCACTGGCTGGGAGGGCAAAGCCCAGGCTGGGTTGAGGAGCAGAGCCCTGGGCGCTCTGGGACAGGGTTGGCCATGACAGGGAATGTGGGAAGACCAGGGCCATGGTGACCAGGCACAAGCCTGCCGTCCACACCTTCTCTGAGCCCCAGTTTCCATACTGGCAAAGGGCGGGTAAAAATTCCTGCCTCATGAGGTTGTTGTATGGATAAAACAGGAGCTCGTGGGTGAGACCAGGGTGCACAGAGGTTAGGGGGCAGGCGCTCCATAACCCAACGATTCTAGATTTCTGCTATC